AGTACCCTTGTATGTTATCATGTATGTCAAGTCAAGTAGTGTAGCTTTTGTTTCCACTTTCCCACATACGTTTGTTATGTGTTTGTTAAGTCTTGACCTGTACCTAGCCCGTCGTGGCATGAATGTACAATAAAGGTATTTCACTATAAAAAGCTAACGATCATTCCCCCACAACCTCTGCTTGGAGAGTACATGTAAGCAAGCTCTCACCACGGGACCAACAGTCTAAGGACCGCACCTTGCGGAAGGTAAACTTTCACTACTACTTCTCAAGTGTCTGGAGCCCCGCCAACTTTCTCAAGTGTGTTCCCCCACCTGCCCGGCGGTACCTTTGATCTCGGGTTGTTTTTCTGATTCCGGATGTGAGAAAGAACTTCGACAGAAACTGAGTCGAGACTTAAGCGGCTTAGAAAATGGCGGGAAAATGAGAAATCTCGTTGAAATCTCTGCAACTCTTCAGCATTTAGTAGAACATTCGTCACTCAGTGACTGTTTTTTAAAGGTAGCAAACACGTACCTCCAAATTGTGGACGTCGAAAATGTGAAAGTACGTGTTTGCTACCTTTCAAAAACAGTGACTGATTGATGAATATTCTACTAACTGTTAATCTATACGTGACTGATGAACCTCTTCAACGATATCTTCAACTCTATATTCTTTATTTACATTCTTACGCGTGTATGGTATCTTGAATGGTGTCGTTACTTCGGTACTACATGTACTTTTTGAGGAAATACATAGGAGTAAAGTAATCTCCAAGCAGATCCTAGGGTGGCAAAAGACAGTATCAAATTGGCCAGAGAGGGTCCATTATGCCACCCAAGGTGGACCCTCTCTGGCCAATGGATACTGCTGATACTGTATTTTGCCACCCTAGGATCTGCTTGGAGATTAGGAGTAAAGTGTCTTCTCCAACAACACTGGGACCTTTGCAAAACCCTCGGATTATGAGTCAACAGCCCTACCCAGCCCACCTTGCCTCCATATACGGTACTGCCCTCGTGTTTGTGGAAGTTCCCGCCATATTTAGAACCCTGCTTGTTTCTGCAGTGAGTTGCCATATATAGCAGCGCAGTGGTTCTAACGCACGGCAGGAATGTCTGAGGAGGAAGCTGAGGTGTGCAGACGACATTCCCCGCATTTCCCGCCAAAATCTCACGTTTCCCGCCAAAATATGCCTAAATCTTTCCCGCCAAAATCGGACATTTCCCGCCAAAATCGGACATTTCATACCAAAATCTGCTGCCTTTTTCCGCGAAAATATACCCAAATTTTTCCCGCCAAAACCTGACATTTCCCGCCAAGATCTGACATTTCCCGCCAAGATCTGACATTTCCCGCCAAAATATGCCTAAATCTTTCCCGCCAAAATCTGAGTTCATACCGGGACCCACTGACACCAGTACAGGCCGTTACCAGGCGTGGTCCCGGGCCGTAACCAGGTTACGTAATAGTGATAGTTCAGTAGGGCGCCTCCACAACCTGACCGGTGCAGGTCGTCACCGAGCCTGCTGACCCCGATATCCCGACACCGAACAAACATCGGTCACAAAGCCGCTGTTCCCGCAGACAAAGACGCCTGTCACGTCGGTGACACTGGAGAGTTGTCAGAATGGCAGGTTTATAAGTACAAACTATTGAAAGAACAGGATCTACTTGACTAACTTGCATAATCCTTGTCTTGACTTGACTAACTTTTGTTTCCACCTGGACTTCCAAAATGTTTGTCTTCCCATTTATTTCCAAGTCAATCAATAGTTCGTGCTTATAAACCTGCTTTTCTGACAACTCTCCAGTGTCACTGACGAAAGGTATTGGGTGCTAACTGAAACGTCTGACCGTCTCCAAAATGATATCCAGTTGCTTGAGTACCTGTTATTTCCCGCCACAAAGCGCTGTTCTCCCGCCATGTTTTCAGGTGCAGACGGCTTTGTGCGACGCCACGCGGCCCTGCCATGTCAAATCTATCTACATCCCAACACAGAGCGGCCTTTGAACCTGTCAAGTCGTCATCCTCCTGCCACAGAAGAACATTCATCCCTGCTACAGTCAGGCAGTGGAACTGTCTCCCACGGGACATTGTCAACACCAGGGACCTTCCGAACTTCAAACGTAAAGTCAACGCCTACCTCAGCGCCACTCGTCAGCGACCCGTATAGCAAACGTTATTCGGTACAGCTGCTAAGCTGAGGACTTGGTGACAGCATAGAAAAAAAAACCCTTATTGTGATAGGTAAATACTAGTATATCAAAGAACGTTAGAACAAGTAGTATAAGTTGATTCATCTATTGTTTTGTACGTAGGTTAATTTCGTTGTACCTACGTATCTGTCTGTATGTCTACATGTAGTCAAAAACTTTACGAAAGTCGCTTTAGTTTTGTTGTGTCAATAACGTTCTAATGTCAAACCCGGCGTGCTGACAGCTCACTTCGCTCACAAGGGGGACCGAAATCATCCTTTTGGCGCCTGGCTAAAATTAGCACATGACAACCAGAAGGTAACCTGATACCCACGCACGACATAGCGTCACGAAACCGCCACTTTTTGTCCCGACCTTGAACCGACACTGTTAAACAGCTAGTACTGGCTAACGGTGCATGGTAAGATATTACCGACACTGTTAAACAGCTAGTACGGGCTAACGGTACTGTTAAACAGCTAGTACGGGCTAACGGTACTGTTAAACAGCTAGTACGGGCTAACGGTACTGTTAAACAGCTAGTACTGGCTAACGGTACACGGGGAGATATTACCTACCTGTTAAACAGCTACTACTGGCTAACGGTACATGATGAAACCGCGACTGTTAAACAGCTAGTACTGGTTAACATGGGGAGATACAGACTATATAGGGAGATATTGGTCCAGACTATTACAATTTTGTCTGATTAAAAATAAACACAATTTGCGTAACGCATAAAACGAAGTGAACAAGTAAACGAAAAGACAAAGTGACGATAGACTCAAGTTATACAACTTATACACGCCCTATCACTTGTACAGCACCTAAAAGAGTATACAAGACCATTGTCTGGAACTGTCCCTGTATCCCTGGCAGTAAGAAGTGTTGTTCTCTAGACTTGTGCAACCTGTTTCCTCTGTTTCACTAGCTATCCGATCTGGTGTACGTTGCGCGACACTCTAAACTGCGGATAAATCAAACGGACTGCAAAAGTCTGACGTCTCAAAGTCATTGCTCAAAGTACATCGAGTATTTGGGGCATGCAGCTTGCGATGGCACACAAACGTTACCAACCTGAGGCATTTTGTGTGCCAGGTGAGCTAGTACAGGTAGCACAGGTAATAGAGCCCGACCCGACAGGTAAGCCGAAGCCATAATGGGCCCGCGTAATGACGTCACGTCTGAACCAGCTGCCAAAAATAGTCACGTAGCTGCCAGTTCACCGGTGTGGCGGAAGAGTTAAAGCCGGACAAAAACAGAAATCTGTACCCTTTCTAGCCTCCTTTTCAGGCGTTCCCGTTGGGTCGTTTTTTTTGGGGGGGGGGGGATTTTCCGTTCAAACGTAGATCGCACGCAATAGAAGCTCAGGCTGGCAACCCTACATATATCACGTCACGAAAGTATCGTGGATGTGTTTGAGGACTTTATGGCCAGAGTGGATTCGGCATGGTGTGCCCAAACAGCGACATCTGCCGGCGGACAGAAGACTACACCCTACACACACGCGTGCGTGCAAAACCGGTCATATAGAACTCGAACGGGAAAAACACTGCACTGGAATGCAAGTCTGGTCATTGGAAAACTTTAGTTACCTTCACTAACATGGTTGTTTTCGGAACCAAGTGTCTGTCTGTGAAAGAAAAAGTCGTGGATGGATATTTATTAATAAATATAGATATTTGGTATTCAGTTATTCAACTGCATATTTGGTGATATACTTCGTTTTAAAATGTGTCTCATTTTATTTTGACGTCTCCAACGGAGTTCACCTTAAGTTTTGTTTTGCTAATTCTAAGTTTTATGTATTTATTTGTCATATTTGGTAAGTGTATATTTTCATTGTGATAATTTGTATTATCTTATTCTCGACTCCAGAATGCATAGTGATGTATAACTAATGGAGATGTAAATATTATAAATAAACAAAAACAAACAAACAAACATGATGCATGGACCACTTTCTCTTTTGTTGTAAACTCTCACTTTTTACATGACCTTGACTTGGATTCACCTTGCCAAAGGGACAAGGTCACCTTTATGTCGATGAAGGTCAGACATTCCGGTAGAGCATTAAAATAATACATAATAAATGAAAATAAACTCTCTGAAGGGTCAGACATTTATGAAAAAAACACATGTATATGTCATGATATATTTATATTGACTCTGTACAACTATATGTTTATGAATAAATATGTTGGGATTTTAATCCATAATCTGCATGTTGTTATATTTTGCCTGGCCCTGATCTCTTTCCTCGTGACCTCAACGAAAAGTTGCAAGCAGGTTGATTTATGTATTTCATAGACAAAGGCTCAAACAAACAAACAAACAAACAATATATAAGGTACATTTTCTTACACTTCCACACAGTAAACATGTATTCAGTAGGCCTGATGACCCTCTGTTGGTGACTTTTCTGTACTTTTTGTGCCGGGAAAGTTTATTTCTGACTCTGGTGGCTCAAGTTGTCAGTGGTAAGGAGTACTGAACCCACCCATCCGTGGTTAACACTGCTAAGTCAGTGTGTATTTCCGAGGAGCTGTACAGTCTGTGGAGGTAAATCCCACTCAACGCCTGAGAAACAGCGGTGTGAGACGCCTCTGTAACTGCGGTGTGAGACCCCTCTGTGACTGCGGTGTGAGACCTCAGAAGTCAGGGTCGTCGTCCGAGCTGTACACTAGTCTGTGCAGGTAAATCCCACACAACGCAACAATCTGCACGACTCTCATCAGCCCCAGCCCCTGCCAAACGGCGGTGTGAGACAAGTCTGTTACTGCGGTGTGAGACCTGTTTGAAACTGAGGTGTGAGACCTCAGAAGTCAGGGCCGTCCTCCGAGCTGTAGAGTCTTTGTAAATAAATCCCAACCAGTGCCCCAATCTGTAGAACTCTCATCAGCCCTAGCCCCTGCCAAACCGCGCTGTGCGACCCTGGGTCCATAACTGCGGTGTGAGACCCTGGGTCCGTAACTGCGGTGTGAGACCCGGTGCTGCCCATCTGTATGCTGTGCACCACCAGCTGTGTGTAAACCAGGATGATGGACAGTTTTACCGCCAGAGGAGATGTCCAGGCACTGATGGAGCTGGGAGAACCCTCAGCATCCTCCTCCTGCAGGCTGGACCAGTCTGTCTCCTTCTGCAGAAAAACACACAAAAACTCCTAGCATCATGGTCAAACTGTATGATTTTAAATGTATAACACCAACCCCAGTCATGCTACAAGACAGAGTGATGCAAACCATATACTAATAGAAACTTTGCAAAATCATGCTGGAAGGCTAATTGCTTTTACAATCAAGTATAATACTCATTGCAATACAGTAACAGGAGACAGGTAACAACTGTCTGGAAAAACTTCTACTCCTACTACTACACTAGCTATTATGGGGTTCGACTTCTTTGAAGTCAGTGGATAATGAATAGTTTCACATTCTGTATAATGAGTGGGTTTTGTGATCTTAGTAGAAACGTAGTCTTTTGGTGATCTTCTAAATGACGAAAGGATGGAGAAATTGTTGTAACTGTCTGAAATAATCTATACTAGTACCTGCTCTCACTCTTATGCATGTCTTTTGTACCACATGAGTGAAAATAAGTGTTTTGTTTGTTTGTTCTTCATTTATTGCCCATGATCATGACAATCATTCTGGCATACTCATTTTCTCCTGAGTGAAGTGAGGAATGTTGTGTTAAGTGCCTTTCCCAAGGGCACAAGAGTGGTGGGCAGGGTGTTTAGTCTGTCCTCTAGTCTCATTTTTTACTATGTATATTATTGTGTTAGTATTTCATATATGTCTGTAATTGTTAGTTTTTAATGTTGAACTTGAAACTTGTTATTTTTAGGTATTTAATGTACAATGATATGGATTTTATTTAATAACTTAGCAATTTTAATGTGTTATGCTAAATATGTCAAGAAATCAAATTGTACAGTAAGACACAATTTAGCCAACAGCTACAAGTTCTTGCTTTTTTTCACAAATAAACCATTTGATTGATTGATTGATTGATTGATTGATTCGAACCCGGGGCCTCTTCATTCTAAGTTGAATATTTACTCTGTTCTAATGCCACACGACCTCATGTTAGACTTATTAGGACATTCTTAAATTATGTAAACTGCATCAGTGTATAGGCTACTAGTATATACATCAGGGCCCTTCACTGAACCGTGACGGGGGCCGACATCGTCTACCAGATACCTTTGACCCAGTGTTGACGTCACACTTCAAAGAAGCCACGTGACAAGCCTCACTGGGTCAGTCTACTGAGGAAGACCAGAGTGACTGGTCGAAAGCTCTAGATGAGAGAACTTTTTGTGATGGACCTAAAGTTTGAACTCTAAACATGCAACTACCAACACAGATGAACTTTCATGATTGCATCAGTGAATGAATGAATGAATGAATGAATGAATGAATGAATGAATGAATGAATGAATGAATGAATGAATGAATGAATGAATGAATGAATGAATGAATGAATGAATGAATGAATGAACTTTATTTTTGTGTTGTGTGCTTTCCCGCGCCCAGCCCGTGTGGGCTTATATGACACCATTTGAGTATAAATAATACATAAACAAAATAGAATCAAAGGTACAGATAACAGAATCCAAACAAAATATGAACGCAAATACAGGTAAAGTGTATGTTATGTATCTTGTCTGACCCTGACCTCTCTCCTCATGATCATGACCTCGATGAAAAGCGACCTGCAGGTCGATTTGACTAAAGCTCCTCATGAATAAAGAATGGTTCTAACAAAGACCTGCACATTAGCACAAACCACTCGACAACACTACACATAATTTCAACAGCATTCATCATATAATATTTACAACACACGACAGTCAAGGTGCAGATTTTACACATGGGATGGAGTGGACTTACGAAAAATTTTCACCGCCGATTATGAATTACGTCAAATTCTCAGAGCTGATTACAGATAACAGTTACGTGTTACAGCTAATGTACTGTATTACGAATCAGGTAAATTTTGGATGGGTGCCTATGTATTACAAAGACTAAAAAGGCCTGTTTACCCCATACAAAAAAGGGCATGCAGGCCCTCCTAAGTGGAATTGATACTGAATATTATTATATCGTAATATAAGATGCATATTTGTTACTCCATCACTCCACTGGCAGAACTTTCATACATACTGCAGTACACATCTGGAACAGTCTCCCAGACAACGTGGTCGTCCTGATCACTGACAACAACCTCCAGTCATTTAGAACAAGAGTAACACCAACATAATCTTTCCACCACCAGAAAAAGAATTGATAATACATAATTGTATTGTTCGTTCCCCCATCAGTTGTAGCTGTGACGGAGGGGAGAAATATTGGTGCAGTCAGAACTCTTACCAAAGACAGACCGAAACAAACAGACACAAACAATATTATACAGAACTAGTAGTGAATTGAAGTATGTATATAAATTGATGTAAATATTGTGTACTCAAATTTGACAATAATTTTTGATTTTTCAAAAATCCAATTTTAACATCATTTTCCTGAAATGGGGTTTAGACGTGCTTGCATCAAATGCAAGACTTATTCTTTTTTTGCAGCAAAGATTTTTATTTTGATACTATGTGCAATTTACATGTAGGTATATGTTATTTAAGACTCCAGGAAGAGTAATGAAGGATGTATATTGCAAATTGTACATTGTATCTTTGAGACAATGAATAAACAATCCTAGCCGTGACAGAGGGGAGAAATATTGGTGCAGTCTGGATGAATGCTGTGCGTTATCACGACCCATTAGACGTTAGGACAAGTGTGTTTGGGTGGAAATGACGTATAGTCTATTATTGGACGCGTAAATTATGATTACCGGTGACAAACGACCCTATTACTCATTAGTGCGGCCGTTAATCAACTCGTTTTTCTAACGAACTCTGTGAAATACGATACGTTCGGCCGATACGTCTCTGTTCCGTCATGCAGGGAAGGGACTAATTTTGGAAACCCGGAAAATGTAATAATGGGAGAGGCGAGGATTTGTCACTTTTGAGCTGTGTGATTATGTCACAAAAGCATGACTTCTGTCATTATTTTACTTTTTTTAAATATTCTATTAGGCCACACCAATTTAATTTCTTGGTTAACGAATTTTTCTACAAAAATAATAGAGCGGGCGGGCGAAAAAAAAACAAACAGGACTAGCCATCCTATTATGGCCCAAAATGGTAGGATAGGAGCCATGAAGTCAACACACCAGGTTGGTTAAAAATTCAAACAATGAATTTTGAACTTTTAATGATACCACTGCATTGAAAGATGGAATAACTGTAACAACTAGGATGAAAAGGACTGTTTTCAACTGTTCAGGGCAAAATATGAGCATTTTGCAGTTGATTCTGAATTTTTATTTTAGTTTCAAATCAGAAAAAAATGAAGCGGGTGAATCCGTTAACCAAGAAATTAAATTGGATCACTCAAGAGATTGCCAAAGTCTAAAAAAAAAAGAAGAAAGAAAAAAAGATAATCCCTACCCACGGACCCTAATTTTTTCAGGAAACTGAAACAGGAACCACAACATTTATTTCCCTAGGCCTTAGTGTTGGGGATATCATGTTTACTATAGCATGGTGACATAATGTCCAGCCTACAACAGCACACCATATACCAGGGGACTCATACGTCAAAATGACAGTCATGTTATGTCAGTCCCACAGTAGCCATTAGGCCACACCAAGTCATTTTTATGGATGACGTCCGCACGTGTATTGATCCTGGCCTGTTCCAAGAAAAAAAACACAAGAAATTCTGCTTCCTGTAATTATGACCAAAGAGTCACGACATTGCCGCAAATTGCAAGATGTGATGGAAGGAAAGATACAGGACAGGACGACAACTGCTGTTAGGCTGATTTTATTGCTGTTTTCATGACAAATAAAAGACTTGTTGGCTACTCAATGTCGTCTCTTAGCTTAGCATATTTCAAATCTAGGCATCTTGTTTTTTGTTTTATCTTACATTAGATATAAGGTCTCCAAAGGACATCATCCATAAAAATTACTTGGTGTGGCCCATACGTCACAGTGACAGGCATGTTACATCATTCCCAGTGGCCAGTGGCCATTATTAGCAGACTTAGTGCAGACGTCCTAGCCTCTACCAGGCTTTGGGAGACGGTTGAAAAGAGTAGAAATTGGCCAAATAGAGAGAGATAACATGTCGAGGGAATTTGTCTGCTAGTGTGGGAAACTATACTCTCCAGTGGACCAATTCCCTCGGCATGTTATCTCTCTATTTGGCCAATTTCTACTCTTTCCAGCTGCCTCCCGAAGCCTGGTAGAGGCTACAGACATCCAGTTTTTCACTGTGTAGGTGACTTTCCTTCTTGCCAGTGGACCTCAGGAAAGGAAAAAGGATAATTGAGTGATCTCGGTCCAGTTTTAGTTCAATGATGATCTAACCTTTCATTTTCAATCATTTTTCGTGGCAGAGAAGACAGACGCTATGTACAGTATGGCTGACATACATTTCATCAGTTGGGTAGAACATAGGATATAGTAATTTTCTTTTTACACAACCAAAACCAAACTTTGATAGATGGAAAAAATTGTAACGAAGCTGAAGGGACTTCCTTCAACTGTTGGGGCCAAAATATGAGCATTTTGGAGTTGATTCAGAGCCTAAAGTGTTTATATTTTTTTACAAATCAGAATAAAATGAAGTGGGCCAATCCATGAACAAACAATTTGGTGTGACCTAATCAGAATTGTGACCAAAAAAAAAACTTTCAAGTTCGTGAATCTCGTGTCCAAAAATACCCGCCGACATCTCATCTCACCTGGCCACTAAAAGCCTTTGCTGTCAACGATACGTTTTGATTTTTAGAGCGGCAAACTGTACTCTCTAGTGGCCCAACTCCCTCTGCCTCACGAAGCCTAGTAGAGGCTACAGACATCCAGGTTTTCCCTGTAAAGATGACTTTCCTTCTTGCCAGTGGACCTCGGAAAAGGAAAAAAAGATTTGAGTGATCTTGGTCTAGTTTTCCCACTGTTCGTGTCAGAGAAGACAGACGCTATTTCATTTCATTTGATGACACAGTATGTACAGTATTTACTAGTTTATTGCACCAGGTTTTCACTGTAAAGATGACTTTCTTTCTTGCCTTCGGACCTCGGAAAAGGAGAAAAGATTTGAGTGATTTCGGTCTAGTTTTCCCACTGTTATTGACAGAGAAGATAGACGCTATTTCATTTCATTTCATGACCCAGTATGTACAGTATTTACTAGTTTATTGCACCGGGGAAATTCCACAAGGTACAAACAGGTATTTGGGAGAAATGCAATTATCATCAGTATTGTGAACAGTAAAAAAATGTCAAGTTTGAATCTCAGGTCCAAAAATACATTTCATCTCACCTGGCCGCTAAAAGCCTCTGCTGTCAATGATACGTTTTGATCACTCGACGAGCCAAAAATAGCCGACAAGCCGCCGTACTAATGCCCTCCTAAACGCCGGCGTGCCCGGGAGAGAGGGCTCCATTCTAACGTCGAGGGTTCGTCACTCCACTCACTGATTAAACGGGGTTCTAATTGACGTTTTCTCTCGTTAGAGAAGGGACTAACAACGTCATACCTCTCCATCTGCCAATCGGAGACAGGGCTGGAAATACTGGGTGCATGAGTCAAGTTAGTGCTGTGTACCTAAACACACAGGTCTGGATTCAAGTCCAGAGGTTTAGGTTCAGTTCCGGACTCGTAAGTCCGACCCTAAACCCACGGCATATAGTATTGTTAGCATTATTGCATGTTGGCAACATTGTATTGAGTAATTGTATATAAGAAATTTATCCGTATTACTGACCAATTTATAAGTGTGTATTTTATCTAATCTATAATATATCGTGTATTTTAATCATTTTGTGGAACAATTTGTACAATATTTTGTAAAAGCTGTGCCCTAGGGCTGCAAACATGTTTGAAATAAATAAACCAGAATACTACTACTGTAATTACTGATTTTTTCACTGTTTTCACTGTCGCTTCTGTACTTATCGTTACAGTTACAGTTAACAATTATCGTTACAGTTAACAAATAATTTGTGGACTTTCTTTTTCCTGCACCTATTGCCACCGTGAACATATAGTTCCGTGAACATGTCCACTTTTATCAGAAATTTTGCTACCGTGAACATAAAATGAATTACAGTACTACATGAGTTTCGAGCCCCGGGAGGCATCAGGGGAGCGGAATTTAGAGTAGAGGTCATAGGAAACGTCCAACCGGCTTTCGGGTGCAAATTTCAATTAGATAAACAGTTTGTAGCCAGTATTTATTGTATCATTTTGCCCATGTTTGAATTATTTCGATAACAATTCCTTATGTATGCATGTATTATTTCAATTCAATTATGTATAGTTTTGGTTAGTATAGAGGAGGAGGGCTTAGCATTAGCTAAATAAGCTTTTTTCCCCCCTCCTGCACCTGTTTTATTTATTATTAGTGTATTATGTATAATTTTTATTGCTGTTGTGAAAAATAAACAAACAAACAATTTCGAGCCCTGTTTTTCCAAAATTGAATTTTGAGCCCTGGGAGGCATCAATTTAGAGTAGAGGTCGGAGGAAAACGTCCGACCGACTTTCGGGAGCAAATTTCAATTAGATCAACAGTTTGTAGCCATTAGCGAGCGGCAGAGGGGCAGGCTGAGTGGGGATCTCACAGCGGGCATGTGACGCTATCGCCACGGGCGTCGCCTGTTGCCGGGCGATCACCACGGTGATTACAGAACATCGTCATGACGACCTTGTTGCCGGGATATGGTGTTCTGGTTTGCTGCTGAAGGGGAAATGATGGGATCTGTCTGAGCTCTGTAGAACACTGCAAATACAGAACTGTATCTGTATCAGTATAGCTGGTATAACCGCGCTTCCGGAAATTATGGGATCTGTCCTCATTGAGTTGTCCTTCGGTGTAACACACCAGCTTCACAGGCACGCGGCGCAGCGGCAGCTAGCTACGTTACACCGAACGACCTGTTACAATCTTTGCACAATTAATTGCAGCAGTTGTTTAAAGCTTTCTAGTGACTATGCTCCAACTGTGCTTGGTGGCAATGAGTTCCACTCTAGTGGATAGTTCTTGGAAAATATAAGTTTTTGAACACCTTAATCCTTGGTTGATAACTCTGATATTTGAAGGCATGCCTGTTTCTTGTTCTTCTCTGGGCTGGAATCAGATAGTTTATACAGAATGGTAACACCCTGTGGGACCAGTTTAGCCCATGGGACTCGGGGGCCACATTAGATTGAAATGTAACGTAACTGCAGGTCATTTTCCGGAGGTTAATCAGAACAAATGGCCGCATCTGCCTCATGTGGGGTAATGTAATCTACGTTACCTGCACAGCTCAGGCCAAACCAGGTTCATTTGTCGGTTCTCGGATTTGCTTGTTTCATTTTTTGTGGTTTGGAGAAAGTCCTTGTCTTCCTATAGCTACCACGTTGTCTGGGAGACTGTTCCAGATGTGTACTGCAGTATGTATGAAAGTTCTGCCTGTGGAGTGAGTTCTAGAGACAGTGAGGGCATGTTTTCCGGTGGAGAGACTGTTCCAGATGTGTACTGCAGTATGTATGAAAGTTCTGCCAGTGGAGTGAGTTCTAGAGACAGTGAGGACATGTTTTCCAGTGGAGAGACTGTTCCAGATGTGTACTGCAGTATGTATGAAAGTTCTGCCAGTGGAGTGAGTTCTAGAGACAGTGAGGGCATGTTTTCCAGTGGAGAGACTGTTCCAGATGTGTACTGCAGTATGTATGAAAGTTCTGCCAGTGGAGTGAGTTCTAGAGACAGTGAGGACATGTTTTCCGGTGGAGAGACTGTTCCAGATGTGTACTGCAGTATGTATGAAAGTTCTGCCAGTGGAGCGAGTTCTAGAGACAGTGAGGGCATGTTTTCCAGTGGACAGACTGTTCCAGATGTGTACTGCAGTATGTATGAAAGTTCTGCCGGTGGAAAGTTCTAGAGACATTGACAGCATGTTTTCCAGTGGAGAGACTGTTCCAGGTGTAAACTGCAGTATGTATGAAAGTTCTGCTGGTGGAGTGAGTTCTAGAGACAGTGAGGGCATGTTTTCCAGTGGAGAGACTGTTCCAGATGTGTACTGCAGTATGTATGAAAGTTCTGCCTGTGGAGTGAGTTCTAGAGACAGTGAGGGCATGTTTTCCAGTGGAGAGACTGTTCCAGGTGTGTACTGCAGTATGTATGAAAGTTCTGCCTGTGGAGTGAGTTCTAGAGACAGTGAGGGCATGTTTTCCAGTGGAGAGACTGTTCCAGATGTGTACTTTAGTACGTATGAAAGTTCTGCCTGTGGAGTGAGTTCTAGAGACAGTGAGGACATGTTTTCCAGTGGAGAGACTGTTCCAGATGTGTACAGTTTCAGTTTCAGTTTATTTTATTTAACCAGTAATTACAACTCAGGCCATCCCGGCCTGTTTTTCAGGTAATCCTGGATACACATAAAAGTACACACAACAAATACACAGTACATAAACTATTACTAAATTACAACATCCTAAACATCAACAGTGTCAAAATCCTGCACCTAATGTTCTGAATAAAAGTCCTAAGAAGTCCTGCTCCTAATGAACTGTTTAAAAATCCTGAGAAGTCCTGCTTCTAATGTTCTGTTTAAAAGTCCTGAGACTGAGGAGCTGTCGTTGCTGTATCGGAAGAGTGTTCCACAGGTAAGTACTTTAGTATGTATGAAAGTTCTGCTGGTGGAGTGAGTTCTAGAGACAGTAAGGGCATGTTTTCCAGTGGAGAGACTGTTCCAGGTGTGTACTGCAGTATGTATGAAAGTTCTGCTGGTGGAGTGAGTTCTAGAGACAGTGAGGGCATGTTTTCCAGTGGAGAGACTGTTCCAGATGTGTGCTGCAGTATGTATGTATGAAAGTTCTGCTGGTGGAGTGAGTTCTAGAGACAGTGAGGGCATGTTTTCCAGTGGAGAGACTGTTCCAGATGTGTACTGCAGTATGTATGAAAGTTCTGCTGGTGGAGTGAGTTCTAGAGACAGTGAGGGCATGTTTTCCAGTGGAGAGACTGTTCCAGATGTGTACTGCAGTATGTATGAAAGTTCTGCCTGTGGAGTGAGTTCTAGAGACATTGAGGGCATGTTTTCCAGTGGAGAGACTGTTCCAGATGTGTACTGCAGTATGTATGAAAGTTCTGCCGGTGGAGTGAGTTCTAGAGACATTGAGGGCATGTTTTCCAGTGGAGAGACTGTTCCAGATGTGTACTGCAGTATGTATGAAAGTTCTGCCTGTGGAGTGAGTTCTAGAGACAGTGAGGACATGTTTTCCGGTGGAGAGACTGTTCCAGATGTGTACTGCAGTATGTATGAAAGTTCTGCCAGTGGAGTGAGTTCTAGAGACAGTGAGGGCATGTTTTCCAGTGGAGAGACTGTTCCAGATGTGTACTGCAGTATGTATGAAAGTTCTGCCGGTGGAGTGAGTTCTAGAGACAGTGAGCGCATGTTTTCCAGTGGAGAGACTGTTTGCCTAACTGTGAAACTGTTTCAGCGACCAGAATTAGCCGTTACTCACTGTCAAACTACGGTCCTTACACACAACATCACACATCAGGAAAAATCACCTAACACATTGGAACGGCTGCCAAAACTGTTCCACCGCCGAATAAAGCAATTATGTCAATTTTTAACTAAAATTGCTTAATTTTCATTGCTTATCATGCTGTAATTAAGTTGACAGTTGTTAATGCCTTAATCTGGTTAATAGACTGTTGATTATAGACCCGGCTAAGACGTCAGCTTCGATGCTGTATCCTGGGACTTAAAGCAGCTAAA